GAAGAGACACCATGTTCATAGTACACACAGGCTCGGGCATGACTCATCAACCCAAAGGATAAACAAAGGCTTCCTTATTCTTCTAAGTTCAACATTATTCCCAAAGAGATAACAAAAGCTTCCTTACACATACCATAACTTGGACAAGTTCCAAAGGAAACGAGGAGGGGGGGAGGAACTATAGAGTACATATAAAATGGTTGCATTTGGGTCTAGAGGTGTGGTTCAAGTAGTAGAGCACCTGCCTAGCAAGCACAAGGCCCTGAGTTCAAACCCTAGTACTAAAATAAGAATAAAGAAAAACAAACAGTCCAAGGCAAAAAGAAATTCTAAAACTATGACCACATTTATACAAAATCTTCAAACAGGCAAAGTACTAAAAAATAGCAAGTGCTAAAAATAGCAAATCTACTCAATCATTGAAACTGCTCGGTGAACTGAGCAGTGAACTGCTCAGTCCATGCAACTGAAAACCCCATCAATCATTGGAAAGTCTTAGTTGAAGACTCCCTAGCTGGCCTGTAATTCTAGCTACCCAGGAGGCTGATATCTGAAGATAATTCAAAGCTATCCCAGGAAGACAAATCCGATTAAATATCTCAATAAATCAGGAATTAATCTCCAATTTACTAGCAAAAAGCTAGAAATGGAACTGTGGCTCAAGTGGTAGAGCACCAGCCTTGAGCAGAGAGGCTAAAGGACAGCCTAGTTCTGAGTTCAAACCCCACCATCGGCACAAAAACAAAACCATTCACTAGGCAACTTGTAGTGTGCTGAGCACAGGTACTGAGGCTGCAGCAGGTAGCACACAACCCTCTTAAAGTGCCACCTTCCTCAGAGATAAAGAGAAATACCAATGTAGACATTCCGTGGTCACAATGATGTAACAAGGTCGCAACAAGTTTTCTACCTGGGCTAGCCTTGAATCGTAGCCTCCCAAGTAGATAGGATTACAGGCATGTGCCTCTGGCAGCCAGCTTTAAAGATGTTAAAATAAAGGGTAGAAATGTTAGTGCCAGTTGTTCAACAATAAAGTAGTATCTTGACACCATTCTATCCAAAAGGACCAAAAATATTAATGCGAGGCTAATAAAAAAAGACTGTCCTATCTGCCAGCAGCAGCATAAAAAGACAATGAGTAAACAAACAGCATTCACAGCCTCATTCTCATCACCAGAAGTGGGTAAGGACCTTGTTCTGCCAACTGTAGAAACCGGATTTATCCCTTCTTCCTGAAGTCTCAAGGACTCTCCTATCTACTACGTCAAACTAAATTGTCTCTGATAAAGTGTTAAACATTATTTCGACAGCTGGGCAAATAAATGTAAATAAAATCCTCTTTCTTGCAGGAGAGGACCTTCCGTCTTAATTTGAACCTAAATGCCAACTTGCAATATTCTACCTGGAAAATACATTGTATATCTTTCTTGTGGAGAACAGTGATAAAGAGCAAGGTTAAGAGTGTAGGTCCTGGGGCTGGGAATGGGGCTAAGTGGGAGAGTGCTTGACTTGGATGCCCTGGGCTCAATTCCTCCGTACCACAGGGTGGAGTGGGGGGAAGGCTGGAAGTGGTGCTGTGGCTCTAGTGGTAGAGCACTAGCTTTGAGCAAAAAGAAGCTCAGGGACAGTGCCCAGGCCCTGAGTTCAAGCCCTAGGACTGATCAAAATGGGGGGGGGGGCGGGGGAGAAAAGGAGTGTAGGTCCTGATAATGAATTCAAAGTCCAACAACTGTGTCACTTAATAGGTGGGTATGATTTGGGGCAGGTTTTGCAAGATGACCAAGCCTTGTCTGCTTCATCTATAGGGTGGGAAGAATTATGGTGTATCCAGCCATTTTTAGGAACTATAAGCTTTTTTGGGGGGGTCCGGTCGTGGGCCTGAACTCTGGGCGCTGCCCCTCAGCTCTTCAGCTCAAGGCTAGCGCTCTACCACTTGAGCCACTGCGCCACTTCCAGCTTTTTTCTTATGTGGTGCTGAGGAATCGAACCCAGGGCCTCATGCATGCAAGGCAAGCGCTCTACCACTGAGCGACCTTCCCAGCCCCAGAACTATAAGTTTTAAATGACATCCTTACGAGGCTCTTATGTAGATGTTAAATGAGCAAATTCATTGATGGAAACACAGTTCCCAAGCAGGCACTTTTGTCTGCCAGGAGCTGCCAAGCAGTGTCTGGAGACATTTCAGGGTGCCACATCTGGAGTGTGTGCTATTCACATCCAGTGGGCACAGCCACGGAGCACGAGAGAAGGCATAGGCAGCCCTCTACAACACACAATTATCTGCCCCAAAAGATCAGCAGTGCCAGAGACTGAGAAACTTGCTGAGTTTAGCATCTGGCACATGGCTAATGCTCAATGACAAACTGCTCCTTCCACTCCAATCCCCAACCCTCTGACACCTCTTTGACAACAGGAGCCACAAATTGTGCTCAATAAGCTGAGAAATGTCATCAGCTGAAATCTGTAGGTGGTCAAGAGGAAATTTCAGGGGCAATGGAGCTTTTATAACCCGATAGTTCAGAAGATAACTCTAGAGCCAGACATTGATGGCTCCACACCAGTAAATCCTAACTACTCAGGAGGCTAAGATCGGAGGTTCAAAGTTTGAAGCCAGCAGGGACAGCAAAATCAGTAAGATTTTTATTTCCAATTAACCACCAAAAAGCCAGAAAGAGGTGTGGCTCAAGTGGCAGAGAAAGCTGAAAAAAACCTCAGGGAAAGCTCCCAGGCCTTGAGTTCAAGCTCCACTACCTGCACATAAAAAAGATGGGTTTTTTTTTGTTTTTTTGTTTTTTAAAAAAGAGATTCAGCCGGGTGCCAGTGGCTCATGTCTGTAATCCTAGCTATTCAGGAGGCTGAGATATGAGGATCACAGTTCAAAGCCAGCCTGGACAGGAAAGCCGTGAGATTCTTATCTCCAATTAACATCAGAAAACCAAGTGGCACTGTGGCTCAAGTGGTAGAGCACTTGCCTTCAGCTGAAGAGCTCAGGGTCGGCGCCTAGGGTCCAGAGTTCAAGCCCCACGACCAACAAAAAGAGAGAGAGAGAGAGAGAGATTCTCTAGAGCTCGGGGAGACCAGAAATTCAGCAGAAATAGAAAACTTGTATCTGTGTTCTTTCCTGAAAATGGGCACACAGGTCTTGTTCTTCCTTGCTTACTGAACTCCAGCCTACTGACTCAGTTCCTTTTCTAACTTCAGGAAGACAAGCCAGTCCAGTCTCAGGACTCTGGACTTGTTCCCCCTTCCCTATCCACTTCCCCCGGGTCGTCCCAGGGCCTACCCCTTCCTCTCTGGCCTAAGCTTCCGATGTCACTTCCTGAGGAAGGCCTTTCTGTCTTACCTCCAGGCCTTCGGGTCCCTGCAGGGCACTTAGGAAGCACTTTTAAAAATCAAGCTGTTGGAAGTGGCATCGTGGCTAAGTGGTAGATGGGCTCGCCTTGAGCTGAAGAGTTCAGGGACAAAGTCCAGGCCCAGAGTTTAAGCCCCATGACGGACCCCTTCCCCCCCCCCCCCAACAAAAAATCAAGCTGCCTCTCCTTGTCTCCTGTAACATCCCCTGCACTGAAATTGCCACCAGAGCTATTTGGGACTTTGGTCATCGTTGGCGTGCAGGGCAGTCATGCTGGTAAATAACCATTAATAGGTTCCTGAGGCTCTTCGGTGTCTGGAAATCGCTATACACTGGAAGCTCAGGGGAAAGGAAACACGAGGGTCTTCCAGCCTAGGCAGAAATGACAGGTGCACACACGCCCCCCCCTCAGGTCCTCAATAGTTGGGAAGCAGCGCAAACATCGGGTTCCACCTCCCTCGGTACGAACGCGGGGGGAAAAGGGGGACGCGGGGCAGCTCCCCGAAGCCACAGGGAAGACCACGGTCGCGGGCCTCCCGGGTCACACCCCTCCGCTCCAGGCAAGGTCAGGCCGCTTACGCCCGGGTCCCCGACACGCCGGGCCCCGAGGCTGCTCCGCGGGGCC